GAAGTAACGAGCTTGTTTATCATTTTTGGGATGATCCAACTCAATGTATTATTTGGAGCAAAAATATGATCTTCAATAAAAGTGTTTTACAATGATCTCTCTTCTTTATTTTCTCTCTTTTGCTTTTCAAGATTGTCTACTTTATAATATCCATTGCTTTATAGTTTCTTTTTCCTAACTAGAAAATCTATTAAAATTTTTAGTCTAAGTCGTAATTATAGCTTTTGGTTTTGATTAGACAGAAGCCACTTTGATTATCTTAATAATCATTTCTGTTCATCTTTTCGAATAAAGAAGTTTGTATTTTAGCTAAGTAGTAATTACTAATTACTGTTTAATCTTGTAATTTAAAAAAAAATGCAATCACTATGGGGACAATAACAATGACAGCCTGGGATATAGAGCTTGATCGTTACCTTCATAAATTAAGTACACTTAAGGCCTCCACTATCATGTATTGTCTCTAGGTCAAATTTTAATTAAAACTAAGTAGGGCAGAGTATGTAATGTTGTTTGGGAGAGTGGATGTTGAGTGATGATCATCTATTTTGAAGCTAAGAATGGTCACTTGCATTAAAATTTTGACATTAGTTTGTAATTGATATACCTTTGTAGCTGTAGGGAAGAGCAACGAGTGATGGAATGTATGGATATGAGTTTTCCTAGTGATATAATGAAAATTGTTTGTCTGCCCTTAAAAATCATATTATAAATGTACGTCATCCAACCTATTTTCTAGTTTGATTCATATCATTCAACAAGCACTATATCTAATTTGATAAATTTGACGAATACATTCTTTGCTTTTAAATCTCCCAAACACAACTAATCAAAAACTTAATTTGGCTTTGTAATTAAGAAAAGCCAAATAGGAAGATTGTTGAGAAAATATACATGTCATGCATATTTTTTATTTTTATTAGATTGATTTTCTTAATGGTTGAATGGTTTAGATAACCTTCAAAATAAGAAGTGCGAATTGTTATCTTGTTTTGGGAAAGCTGATATTGTTGCAAAAGGTGAAATCGCATCAACAAATCCAAATGATCTAGTGCATCATGTACCCCTTGGTAATGAATGTTGGAGAGTTTAGGTTAATGAAGTGATCGATAATGTTAGCTTATATCGTCCTATGCGTGAGCTTTTTCTTCTGGAAGATGCATTAGGAAGTACAATTGCATGGCCAAGTAGGTATATCGAAGTGGATTCGCTGTAATCACAACAAAGGTATGCTTAACTTCTTTTCTATTGTAATTCTATTTACCTTTATGTTCGGTCTCTATTGAAGATTGGGTTGTTTAATATATTTTTGATTTGAATGCTTATTAATTATATCCTTATTATTTTCATGGTGAGCAAGGGATCCATATTTTTTGGGGTAGCTAAATTGTCGATCAAAGAAGTGAACTTTGATAGGTTTAATAACTTTTTGTTATATGACGGAACCTCAATATCCACGGGCTTATTAGTTGAATGGCGATTGGCGCATACAATAGTAGTCGAAATTTTTTGAGAATTGTTTAGATGAAATTTACATTGGCATATTGTATTGAACCGTAGTCAATATTTCTTTTTATCGAAACAATGGAAACCTTGATTATATATGGAGTAATTTTATTTTGTTAATATTACAGGTTTGCTGGTATTAAAATAAATAAATGATTTTTAAAAAAATTGAATGATCATTTATGGCATGTATAGGCATGCCGTGATGCCATGAGTATAACACTTTATACGGCATACAACTGCACGCCATAAAAGGTGAATGGTCATTTACGGCATGTTTAGGCATGGGCTTAAATTTCTAAAAACACACACATGTGCATCGAGTTAATTGTTCCAGTGAGATACTACGACCTTTTCAAATAAAAAGTAAAATATAATGTCACTTTTTCATAGAAAGTGACAAAATATCACATTTTTTACATTCTCATTTTCTCAAACACCTTTAAATGCATCAACTGAATTGATTTAAATAAATATGAATTGAATACAATATTAAAACAATGTTTGAATTCAAATATTTGAATTTCAAAAAACACACATGTGCATCTAAGTAATTGCTCCAATAAGATACTTTGAAATTTTCAAAGAAAAGTAATAGAATGACATTTTGTCACTTTCTTATATTTTCGTTTTTGCGAACACACTTTATGCATCAATTAAATTGATTCAAAGAAATATAAAATGAATGCAAGATTAAACCAAGTTTTGAATTCGTATATTTAAATTTTCAAAAACACACACGTATGTATCAATTAATTGCTTTAATGAAATATTTCAACTTTTTCAAAGAAAAGTGAAATAATATTACTTTTTAATAGAAAAGTGACAAAATATTACTTTTTCACATTGTTTCAAAAAACTATAAATTAAATGCAATATTAAAATAACGTTTGAATTTGTATATTTGGCCCTTGTTTAAGCCCCATTTTTTCAAGAATGCATTTTCTTAAAATTCATTTTCAACCACACATTCTTCTATAAAATAATTATACACGTATTTCAAAAACTTTTTTTTTATTTTTTAGTCACACATTCTCCAAAAAATTATTATTCCATAATACATTTTATCCCAAAAATGGGAATAAAAAATGGGCTTAAATTTCTAAAAACACACACATGTGCATCGAGTTAATTGTTCCAGTGAGATACTACGACCTTTTCAAATAAAAAGTAAAATATAATGTCACTTTTTCATAGAAAGTGACAAAATATCACATTTTTTACATTCTCATTTTCTCAAACACCTTTAAATGCATCAACTGAATTGATTTAAATAAATATGAATTGAATACAATATTAAAACAATGTTTGAATTCAAATATTTGAATTTCAAAAAACACACATGTGCATCTAAGTAATTGCTCCAATAAGATACTTTGAAATTTTCAAAGAAAAGTAATAGAATGACATTTTGTCACTTTCTTATATTTTCGTTTTTGCGAACACACTTTATGCATCAATTAAATTGATTCAAAGAAATATATAATGAATGCAAGATTAAACCAAGTTTTGAATTCGTATATTTAAATTTTCAAAAACACACACGTATGTATCAATTAATTGCTCTAATGAAATATTTCAACTTTTTCAAAGAAAAGTGAAATAATATTACTTTTTAATAGAAAAGTGACAAAATATTACTTTTTCACATTCTCCTTTTCACAAATACCTTAGATGCATCAATTGAATTAATTCAAATAAATATGAATTGAATGTAAGATTAAAACAAGGTTGGAATTCATATATTTAAATTTTTGAAACATACACAAACATTCATATAGCTAATTACTTCAATGAGATACTTCGACTTTTTCAAAGAAAAGTGACATAATGTCAGTTTTTCTAATGTCATTTTTTTCACATTCTCATTTTTGCAAACACATTGGATGCATCAATTGAATTGATTCAAAGAGATGTGAATTATTTGCAAGATTAAAACAATGTTTGAATTCTATTTAAATTTTAAAAAATAAAAACGTATGCATTTAATTAATTGCTCTAATAAGAGAATTGGATTTTTCAAAAAAAAAAAAAGTGACATTCTCATTTTCTCATTTTTTGTAAAAACACATTGAATGGACAAATTAAATCAATTTAAAGAAGTTTGAATTGACTGCAAAATTAAAATAATGTTTGAATTTATATATTTAAATTTCACAAACACACACATGGGTATGCATCTAGTTAATTGTTTCAATGAGATGCTGCGACTTTTTCATAGATTCACATTTATACAAACTCCTTGGATACATTATTTGAATTGATTTAAACACATTCCAAAGATCAAGACGTCACATGAATACTGATTTGTCCATTGAAATGAAGATAACAGCTATTTGTAACCTTAACCCAAAAATAGTGTTATAATTTCAAGTTGTTCAAACATTACGTTATTAACTTAATGAATGCAAGATTAAACCAAGTTTTGAATTCGTATATTTAAATTTTCAAAAACACACACGTATGTATCAATTAATTGCTCTAATGAAATATTTCAACTTTTTCAAAGAAAAGTGAAATAATATTACTTTTTAATAGAAAAGTGACAAAATATTACTTTTTCACATTCTCCTTTTCACAAATACCTTAGATGCATCAATTGAATTAATTCAAATAAATATGAATTGAATGTAAGATTAAAACAAGGTTGGAATTCATATATTTAAATTTTTGAAACATACACAAACATTCATATAGCTAATTACTTCAATGAGATACTTCGACTTTTTCAAAGAAAAGTGACATAATGTCAGTTTTTCTAATGTCATTTTTTTCACATTCTCATTTTTGCAAACACATTGGATGCATCAATTGAATTGATTCAAAGAGATGTGAATTATTTGCAAGATTAAAACAATGTTTGAATTCTATTTAAATTTTAAAAAATAAAAACGTATGCATTTAATTAATTGCTCTAATAAGAGAATTGGATTTTTCAAAAAAAAAAAAAGTGACATTCTCATTTTCTCATTTTTTGTAAAAACACATTGAATGGACAAATTAAATCGATTTAAAGAAGTTTGAATTGACTGCAAGATTAAAATAATGTTTGAATTTATATATTTAAATTTCACACACACACACATGGGTATGCATCTAGTTAATTGTTTCAATGAGATGCTGCGACTTTTCCATAGATTCACATTTATACAAACTCCTTGGATACATTATTTGAATTGATTTAAACACATTCCAAAGATCAAGACGTCACATGAATACTGATTTGTCCACTGAAATGAAGATAACAGCTATTTGTAACCTTAACCCAAAAATAGTGTTATAATTTCAAGTTGTTCAAACATTACGTTATTAACTCAAATAATGATTGAATGTAAGAAATATGAAATCTGACATTTTATGATTTTCTTCAAACAGTTGTTTTTTTTTTTTTTTTTTTAAAGATACTATTTCACCCATTTTTTTTATTTCAATGTGGGGGCCAAACGGAGGCAGACTTCATGTCCCTTAGAATCGGGTCCACGGGTACACTTTCACTAACCAGTTATCCGGGTTTGGAGCTGTCCGGGTTCCCCCATTTCCATCATCAACCCCTCAGCCCCAATTCGGCAGGACTGCAAAACATAATTTTATCTCTCTGAGCAATTATTCATCGAAACAGCATCTCACACGATTGGGCTTCTCTCTTTTGCTTGTAATCCCCTAATTCTTATTTTTGCTTTCGTACAAACGTGCGCTTGTATTTTTAATCCTAGGGTTTGGGATCACCCTCAGGCGTGAGTGTTCAATTTAAATTAAAACAACATTTCAGGCTTTGTAACAACAAAATACAAATCCAATACGCCAATTGCACTGATTTTTTTTGCCCATGAATTGCTGAATATTGCCCACTGAATTCAATTTTGCTTATATTTTCTTTGTTCAGAGTTTAATTTTCAAATGTGATATTTTAGACTAAGGACTAAAGATTGCAAACAGAGAGAGAGAGAGATTAGTTGATTGAGTTGAGACATGGGCTGATGCTATGAGTAGGCCATCATTTAGGCCTCGACCCCTTGACATCCACAAGAAGCTGCCTATTGTAAAATCTTTTAAGGAATTCGAGGATGACGAGGTCCCGACTTCTACTCGTAACTCCCAGATGCTCCGTATCGTCTCAGAGGCTGATAATGAGGTGAGGTATTTACTCGGAGCACAATATAAAATTTACTGCACATTGACTATATTGCTGTTTTTGTTTATTTTTTATTTTTTATTTTAAGTATAGATATAGACAAGGTGTTTGAAGAATAACATTTATTTGCTTGAGTTTTCGTTTTCTTTTTTTAATTTTTTATTTTTAAAAGCAATTTCTTTCTCATGGCCACTTCAAGAACGAATATTGCATTAAACAGTTATGTAATTATTATGTGCATTTGGTTGCTTCTCAAAACAAGCCTTCTGCATTAAATCCTATTATCCTATAATCCTTCAGTATGACCGTGACGATAACATATTATCATTTTACCTCCAATGACTAAGAACAACATAGACTAAGTCATCCCAACACCAGGAAGTTACTGTAACTTCCTCTTAATTATTTATGTAGGCTCCTGTATAAACTCTTCCAGGGAACTCAAAGGGACTTGCACTTTACTGAATCAAAGGGTCCAATCCTAATCTTGGAGGTTTAAGATCGATTCCTCTTCCCACATTTCCCCAATTCCTTGAAGTCAGCTTATCAGCTCTATGCTCCCTGTCTCCCACTGGAAAAAAGAAGCTTTTAGGCAACCAAGACGCGATGCATGGTGTTGTTCATAGTATTTCTGACTGGAAAAAGGCTGTCTTTTTCTGAAATTGCTTTTGTCTCTGAAATCATTGTTTAAATTTTCGAAATATGAAGAATTTAATTATTTTTTGGTTATATATCCCGTAGCCTTGCTAGACTGAAAATAAATTTTCGAAAAATTTCTTCAACTTATTTTATTATAACCGCAGTGAAATATCTGATTTATTTAATTACGCCTAGGAGAGAAAAAAAAATAAAAATAAAAAAAATAAGAAGGCAGAGAAAAGAATGCATCAACCTACTTGTTGATATTCATGCAACTAAATCCAAATGCAGACTTTGTAATTTTAAATGATTGGTACTTAGAGTCCATCATAATGAGGACGTGCTAATAGGTGATCAAGGACGTCGGTATAACCGAGGTACCTTGTAAGATAAAACAAACAATAGGTATTTGTAATTGTGTGCATTTACAGACTGAACTGCCGTGCAAACTAATATCAAAATTTTGTTCTTCCAGTATCTTTGTATCCCTATTAGAACTACAATGAAACATTATCCAGATGTGGCAATGGGGGTTCTTTATCTGTAATATTATTAGCCCTGTCATGGCCTAAAAATATCAAAGATACTTTGTTTTCTATTCTGAAGCCTTTTGCCAGGTCTTACGTCATGTCTCTTGCTGCTAAAGTTTTCATGCATACTACTACTACAAGATCAGTAAATATCTATGTGAAACAAATAGTACTTCCTTCATATCATGTTATAAGACCAGTACATGCCATTTAACTGATGTAGGACAATTGGGCAGGTGTATTTACTTAGTCGTGAATTATGACATTCATAGATTAACTAATGCCATGATCAATTTATTCTTAAGGTACAACAAGCTCCTAGCAAAAAAGTTGCTTCAGAAATACCCACTCCTGAGTTCGTGGTAGTGGATACATATGAAAGAGACTATTCCCGTACTTTCACTCAACCAACATCATATCTTCGTGCAAGGGGAGGTGAGACAATTAAGTACATGTTTGACAAACATACTTTCCGTTTGCACATTTCTTAGAACCCACAACTACTATACACTTATTATCCACACCATCCGTAGGACCCACGATCTATAATCTACGAGATGCTTTACCAAATGCACTCTAAATAGGCTCCTTATTAATTGCTACACTTTTGTTGCAATCATGTGTTAAAATTGTCATATTATTGACAGCCAGAGCTGAGATCGGAGAAATTGTGGAGTATGATCTTGACAATGAGGATGAAGATTGGCTTCAAGAATTCAACAAAGAAAGAAAAACTCTTGCAGCTGAAAAGTAATATTCTCTCTATCTTGTACTAGTCCTTGCATAATAAAAGCATCTTTGTATCTTTCTTTATCTTTTTACTTCATCCTTTGCTGACCTACAAAATGTTAAATTCTACTTTATCAATATCAACTATATACTTCATTGTCTGGAAATCAGTTCATTATTCAAATTTTAGAACTGAAGCTATATGAAATTGTTACTTAGTTGTTTCTCCTCTGATGTGGAGGTGATAAAAAACTAGCATCTAACTCAAAAGTGAGTAAGTTGTTCTGAGATGCTCACATATCTTGATTTATGACATCCGTGTTAATAAAAAATTCGCTACTACGTTGTGGAAGCATGCTTGTACTGATAGCACGATGGTATTATTGAATTTTTTTTTCAAGCTATATTAGTCCTTTTTGGAAAGTGTAAAACTTTTCTTCAGTTCGTACTGGAACTCTATGAAACCTCAAAAGTTGATTCTATAAAGTCCCAACTATTGCGCATTAAGGTGCCTTTTTGTCCAATCCCTGTGCTGCATTTTATGATTATTGTTGATGCTGCCTGCCGCAAACCAGGGGGTGGGTGAAGAGGAGGCTCTTTATGACATCTGCATTTATTCTTAATTTTTTAATTCCACTGCTTGTACTTATGTTGTTGATTGTTGATGCAGGCTTGAGACAATTCTGTTTAAATTAGAGGTTTTAGATCACAAGGCTCGGGAAAGAGCAGGACTTATCGCTCCCACACTTGGCTCATCGATTCCGGTGATTTTAACTTTCGATGCTGCTGTTGAGGTGAGAATATCACTATTCTGAGTTGCAGTTTAAAAAAATTGTGCACATTGTTGTGATTAAGTGTATGCTTCTAGTTGTGTGTTGTTCTGCTCATTTTTTGATATGAAGTTTCCTTCTTTGCGAAGAGATTTTAGCGATTAAGTTACCTGATTTTGCTGGCAATTGTTAAGTATATACTGAAACCATTTTCAGTTAATGTTGGACTCACTTCTCACAATAGCTTGAACAAACCACTTCAAAACTATTAAGTCCCTTTTTGTTTGTTTCAAGACGTTTTGATATGTATTATGTATACTTTTGATGGATCAAATTGCATAGATGTAAATTGATGCATTTAATAGTGAATGCTGCTGAATAGCAGTTTAAAATACATTACAGCACGGCGGTACGGGTAAGGAAGTAAATAGCATCATGGTGAAAAGTTGGGTTCATCTCTTCAAAGTGACCCAAAAAATAAGGCTTTGGGCCTTTTCCAACAAAGAACATGGGAAAATTCAAAACCTTGTTGGAGACATACATTAAGACCATAATCTCTTTGAGTGGTTTGATTAATTTATTTCCTCCTTTTACCTTCTTCCTCCTGAGTATAGAAACCTTGATGAAAATTATGAATTATAAGACAGTGGGTTGAGGAAACCTAACTAGTGTGACTTGTCAGTTTTCCTTAGCTGAAGCATGGATATGGAGTTTGATTGCGTCACTAGTCGAGTATCGTCTGTAATCGTCGTTAAAGTTGCTTCGACTTTCCTTTAAATTTTATTTATTGTAGACGTGGAAAAATTGCTTACCTCATGTATCTATGGTTACAATATGCAAGAGGAGTGCTAAAATTTTTGAGACCAGTAGTCAGTCCTGGAAATTTAGAATATGCGCGAATATGCTTTTGGCTTCTTTTTGTGGTTTCAAGTCAGTCGAAGCAGTCAAGAAGCTAATGAATAAATCTGAAGAACAATTCAAGAATTGCTTAAAAAATTACATGCCATGATATGCACCTCAATTGCATGACCTTGGATTTAGAGATTTCTGCCATCATCCTGGTATTGTTGACTACCAGTATTAAAGATGCCCAAGTTCAGTAAGTATAAATTTAAACGCTGGACCGTGCTAGAGTTTTCAATATAAGTAGAATTTAATATTCTACTTGTCAAAGAGTTGGATTTAGTAGACGTTGTGTAAAAGTGTTCCTTGCAAAGTGCTAAAAGTTCAAGCTTAATGTTGTCAATCTGGAACTGACTAACGTGGTCACGTGTTCAAAAGCTTATCAAAAATGTGAAGACCCATAATTGATGAGTGCACGGTAAAGTGAAGAATACATAGGAGCTGGTCCCCGCTTATTCAAATTCTAAACCTGTAGTGTAGTCAGACTGTAAGGGTGTCAATGAAGACGAGTCACTGCTTTACAAAGGTTTAGCGGGAAGCTCTTGTTACTGTTCGAGTCAGGGCTGTTTTGATTTCTAGTCACTCGTGTCACAGATTTATTTTGGTGGTTGCTTCAGCCTGCTTTTGTTTGACCATTACATATTTAGTGTCTGGACTGTGCATAATGATTTTGTGTGTATTGGAACTGCATCGCGCTTATGTATACTTTTCTTTCTTTTTGTTCCCTTCAGAATTTTCGGTCTTCTCGAGTAATTAGTTTGTATAATGCTATAATAATTTGTCATTCACATGTTAGGCCTTGCAAGCTCTTTCCATCAAATATGGGGTTTTCCAATCTATCTATTATTACTGGAAGGACAAGGTACGTGTCAACCACCATTTGATATTCTCGTACTGGATGTCTTTTGTATGATAAATTTTACTAGAAATGTATGCACAAGATATGCAGTGTTTTTATGGGCTTTTGGCAAATTTAGCTATTATCTCTGGTCTTATTTTTTGTGGTAAGTACTTGGTCATGACCTAAGAAAATGATGTTGTGCTGAAAAATGAAACAGAGATGGGCGTAATGACTTTGCTTTGGAACACATACCCTTTAGCAGTCTAGCTTATCTAGAAACTTGACCTTTCATAATTTCACATCCTTAGCCTCAATAAAAGGTAAATATGCATTAATACGGGTAAATGACTCAAAATGATTTGACATTGGTCCAAGTTAGGGTAATAATTTGGAAAATTAGAATAAGTTGATTTAGCTCTTCACTTGAAAAATACTCTTTCCTATCTATGTTGGTCGCTTATGTTCCACGTCTGGAATTCTGGATGTCTCGTGTAAGTTGTAACCACCAAAAAATACATTTGCATCAAGTTCCTGAATTTCCAATTCAAGGTTAGCAATGAAAAAGAATGATGGCTGCATATTCTAATGGAGTGGGAAACATGACCTAAAAGCGGTGGAGTGGATATGAAATTTAAAATAATGGTGGTTAGGCGACAATAATGTTTTCAAAATTTTAATAGATAAGAGATTTAAAATAGTAGCTGTAAGGTTTCAATGTCTTTCTCAGAACTTTGTTTCAGGGGAGTGGTATGATTAACAGAATGGGGGGTGGGGTGTATGTTCTACTTGCAGTTGTAATATCTTCTTTTTAATTTGCAGCCTGTCATACTTGTCATATTCTGCATGAGTTGAATATTCTATTACTAGGAGATGAAATAGTTTACATATGGCATTTTATTGGTAGAGTTGCACATTGGTTTTGGGGCTTACAACAAACTTCAGCTTATCATAAAGAAAATAAATCTCTAAGATGAATCCTCACATATTTTTTTGCCTTCTTTTGTCTTGCACATTTTGCTACCAGCGGGAACGATGGCAAAAACCAATTCTTCGACATTTACAGGTAGTTTTTCATTTCATTTGTTGGTGTCAATATTGTGAATTCTGGGCCAGATACGTATGATTATAGGGAACTTTATGCTTCAGGAAACACAGCTTTCCTGATAAATACGCAGGACGCAGGACGAGATTCCTGCTTCCATCCCCTTACATGCATGATTCATGAACAATAAAATAATGGGAAATTGACATTCATTTTCAAAAACTTTATCAGAAAAGCTAAGTTCGAAAACTTCTGGCATTCATTCTTCGAAACTCTCTCTCTCTCCTTTTCTGATAGAATTCCTATAGATTTAAGTTCGAAGAATTATTGTCATTTTCTCCTTTCTTCTCTCAACAGCTTAGACTTTACAGATAAAAACAAGTTACCATATCATGTTCTGCAGCAACTATTCTTTATGTGTGTCCAGCTTCTTAGCATTTGGAATAGGAATCGATTTGACTTTACATTTTGATAGATCATGAGAGTTTCATTTTAAAATCATGCAAATGTCATGCCCTTCCTCCAATTTACTTAGCAGACTTTTTTTAGTTTTTTTTTTCATTCCCCCCCCCCCCCCCCCCCCCCGCTCGCC